AGATCGTTCCTGCACAGGTAGGACTTGACTTTAGCTAAAATCCGTAGATGATAAAAAGATCCCTTGACTACGGAGCTGATTTGTTTATCAAATTTAAAAGCACTACCAAAAGTAACACAAAGGCTCTTAATGGAGGAAGTACATTTGGAAGTTAGGGGTCCCATAAAATCAAAGGAAAGGTTGGGGTCTTTAGGAATGATAGTGACCATATTTGAACGACTATAAAGTTAAACGGTGAGAGATCAGAGATCCTGATGTGGTCCAGGGCAGGTTTCTGTGATTGCGTTCAGTTACAGTCCAGGATTGGGACACGTTTCTTTTTAATTTCACATCCTCAGTCCACTTAGTCTAACCCTAACCCGACCAGGTCATTTTTCCATCTATCCATGTACTTCCTGTTAACCTCACAGGTCTGAGTGTGACAGGAGAAACAGCAGGGTGCCTCCTAAACATGCTGCTAGTCGATCTCAAGGCTACAAAAGGCGAGAGAAGCTGGGAACCTAACGTTCATGTCTTTGCACTGGAGGCTACAGTAACCAGTAAGAGTCTACATGAATGGCAAAAACATGTAAACACAGAGGGGTCCTAGTGGGCTGCTCTAGAGGTAACAGTAACATCCAGTGCGCTGCCCCACATCTTGGCTAAACGAGCAACACTTTTGGCACACAAAGCACACTGGAGGAATAAATACATACGTAAAGAATATATATTTATGGATACCAGGTAAACTTCAGTAACTCCCTGAATCTGCAGGTTTTAGGGAATCACAAAGCCACAAATGTGCAGTAGCCAGGAGACAGAACAGGCCGCGATCACAGCTGTGCCAGATGTGGTTCTAGTTTTGATGACCAGAGATCCATCGTGTTCGCTAAACTTGTGTTTGCTGCTAATATTTTAATACAAAAAAGTGTTTTACTCTCCTCCCACAAATCCAGCAGTAGTTGAGCTCTGCAATCAAACAGCACCGGAAATAATTCCAACTCCTGGTTTTGGAGTAAGGAAAAATAGTCCCACTCCACAGCTGGATCACTACCACATTAATGTTTTTACACCTGATGTATGAACTTCATAGAATATGTCGCCTTGATCTCGAATTATCGCAGTCATCAGATTTTCAGAAACCTTGACCTCTGACCCCTGACCTTGAGATAACAGCTGTTGTATCAATTTAAACTCGTACGTCGCTTCATTCTGTCGCTCGGGCGCCGTCCCAGCATCAGGTAAAAACACGTGAGCTGTCTGCACTCACCTGATGACCTCAGAGGAAGCAAACTCCATCCTGCTGCTTATGCTCTTAGTCGCCGTAACGCCGCCTCCCAAGATGCCTTGATGCTGCACGGGAGGTTCCATCTCCGTCCTGCGGCCTCCCTCTGATGGCGAGGGAGACGGCGCTACAGGAGGCGAGGAGACGGGCGAAGGGTTGAGAGAGAGGTACGGCGAAAGGGCCGTGGACTCGGCCTTTTCAGAAGCGAGCAGCGCCGACACAGCCTCTGAGCTCTCGCGGTGCACGGTGGCCTGGGCGTCATCTGTGATGTCGATCACGCCGGCGCTGTGGAGGTGGGACAGCGACGGCGTCTGGGACCGAGACGACGCTAAAACACAACACAACAAAGTAAGAACACTGAAGTGTCGTCAGAGATGAGAGACCGGCAGCAGCTCACCTTTCACAGTGTTCTTGCTGTTCTCCAGAACGCCGCCCTGGACAACGTCAGACATCAGCGGCGTCTGTTGCCGTGGAGACTGGGTGATCTGCGTTACGGCTACCAGTTCCTCGTCTTCCTTTGATAACATTTTGCTCGTTTCCTTCACGACGCTCTTTTTGACATCCTCTGTCGCTTGAAGCTCCGCCCATGGAGACAGGCGGCCAATGACAGACGAGGAATCGTTCGCCTTGGGTCCCTGCAGAAGCGGCTTCTCATCCTCCTCCATTTTAGAAATGGCACTTGGTTTCACGTCGCTGCGAGTCTTTAGCTCGTTCTCAGAGTTGGGCTCTGAGGAGGAGGAAGAGGAGGAGGAGGAGGAAGATGAGGAGGTGGAGGAGGAAGATGAGCAGGAGGAGTGGGCGGCTCTCTTATTGTGAGGATTTTCTGAGTCGCTGCTCTCGGACAGATCGGATGTCATGTCGGTCTTCGGCTTCTTTGGACCCGCCTTCTTCTCCTCTTCGTCACCTTTCCTGCGTTTGTTCGCAGACGGCTTCAGCTTGGACTTGGGCTCTGAACAAACGACAGACAGGTGGGATTATTCTGCACCTGTGTGAGACTCTACACGTGACAGCGACAGCCACACCTACAGATTGATTTTGGACAGATCGTCGCGTAGTCATAAGTCAGGACGGTGGTTCATTTATAGACATTTTAAACATTTTCAGTATCAAAAACAAACAAGCTGCTGCTGAGATGTTAAGGAACGAGACAAGAGCACTTGCACAGTCACATAACACACATTACTGTCTGTTAATATGTTGGACTGTTGAATCATCATTGTT